GATTTTCTTTGACCAGTCGGCGGAGAAACGCTTCGCGAGGGAAAATCGTTTTTAATTTCTCCCCCGTAGTGCCGAGTCATTAGCGAAACGGTAAAAAGAAAATGTTGCGCTCGTTAAAAAATATTTCCTTCGAGGGTACCGGGCTGCGCTTGTGAACGCGCGACGCTCGTGAACCACCCACCCACATAGTTGGTACGTATGTTACAACCATTAATAAATCACTTTGAAGCGTTTGTCGTGTTTAACGCTAGCCTCTGGCTCAATGAATGCGAAGGGACCGCGCACTGGCCTTTGATATTTATGGGGCCTCCTAATTAAACAGACAGGTAATTTCGAGATCTACTTTACATCCACATCAGGGTATCGCTAGGTGTATTTGCGATGAAAAGATGACGCAATGATCGCCCCTCTATCGCGATAATTCCATCATTGTGCAAGGGATTACACTGGCAGATAATTCTTAAAAACGAAGCAAATATTTTGTACACTTTGATCGTGTTTAATTTTACAATGTCGGTTATTTGTCTTTTTGAATCCAGAATCGTCCTTTAAACGTTAATACATCCGCGGGCACACGAATCGAGAATCCCCGTTTCTTTTCTATGGTGTTCGTTGGTATATTACAAGGGGCATACTAACATCCGGTAGGAGCATACGTACCTAAGAAACCATGTACCGAGCAATCTCCAGGAAAGAGATAGTCCACGGCGGAATCAAGATGATCCTTGGAAGAGGGAAAAAGAGGCAGAGGGAAAGTTATTAAGAAGATTATGGACGGCTCGTTGCTCGAACTTCAAAGGACCAATTCCCATTTTCAATTTGCTTCAAGGTGAGGGCGGTAGGGGGTCAAAGCCAACTCATTCTACCGGTTAGATCCTTGCCGGCCGAGCATGGGGTTCCGCGTATTCTCAGTTCCCGAAGAATTCCATTCCGGGACTGCTCTTCCGCCCTTGAACAAGTTGCAACTTTACTTGAAAAAGCTAGCTTGCACCAGCTTTTCAAGTTTTATGGATGCAAGGGTAACATATACCCAGTCTGGTTCGATCGGACGCGGAGTATTTTCCATCCATCGGAAGACATCGATATTCCAGACCGACGACAACGAAACGTATTCACGGAGTGCGTTAATTTCACCCGTTGTCGCGTAAACGATAAACATCTCGCGGTTACGTCCGCGCCTCGGAATCTCTAAAATTGTTGGATGAAGTGTGGCAGTTTTGCGAGCATGGCTGCCTCATGAGGATATTATTCGACGCGGTAAAAGGATCAATAAGGCGCGTATGAACGCGAGTAGAAGAGCCATCAAGAGAGAGTGCTCGTTGCGAATGTACCGCTGCCACGGTAATAATGCTACAAGTTTATTACCGCAAGGAGAAAGAGTACGGTCATTGTTATAGGTACATAATTTCCGGGGTTATCGTCGGAGTCTTCCGCTTTTTCGACACTGTTCGTTCAGCCAAGCAACTATATTCAACGTGGGAGACATTTTCAGTCGGTTTCGCTCGATTGGAATATTTTAGAACGGTCGTTTAGGCCGACTAGACAGTGGTATAATATCCGAAGCGCCGTTTCGTATCACCGACAGTTATTATATGACCAATTGTAATTCTCCGAAAGAGGATTCGATAACGTCGCGACGTCCGATCCGCGCGTAACGTCGATTTTCTTCGGGAACTGTGATAAGAGGGGTACGGGGTGAGACTAGGAATCATCAATCTCGTCGAGTTGTACTCGAGTGGCACTAATTCAGTACCCTTGTCCCCCGGTCTCCGTGTCAACCCCGAACTTCGTGTACCTCCGCCACTTAAGCAGCGTTGTACGGAAGACAGGACGGGCCTTTCGTTCGACCTGAATCCAAATAAATAGGCTCCCATACATCAACGCCTCCGAAATCGCAGTAGCTCAATCAACTTGAGTACACCTTACATTGTCTCTATGCGAGTCGAGCGCGTCCAACTTTCCCGTTCGAATATGCCCAACTTTTCATTCTCTGAATGCAGAAATAATGTTCTCCACAGACTACAGATATAGACGGTGGAACAGAAACTCTCTTCATCTCAAATATTTCTCTTATTTTTAGACATAGAAAATACTTGCACGCAAAACTTTCACGGCATAAGGAGCAACGCGTTATCGTATATACCATTCTTCCTTTATAATATTAAGTCATAATCATTTTGTCCTGTAAAAGTAACTCGTTTCTATCAAAACAACTCTAAACTATTTTATAGGAATGTGAAAATTCAATGTTGAAATTTGTATCTGTAATGCCTTTGCCAATAAGCAGCATATTACGGTCATATGTATGGATATAGAAGAAACATACATGGCACGGAAGAACGACATGCACGCTCGTTGTTAACTTTTTGAAAACAAGACTTACAAAAGTTAAAGAGAATAATCGATTTTCAAATATACGTGTAATTAAAAATCAAGTCCTGGGAAGCTTAGTTTTAAGCGTTACGCTTTTCTTTTTTGCAATCAACGATGTTATTTTGTCAATAAATCTACGAGCTAAAGCTTATCTCTGTGCAGTTGAACGTACGGTAATACATCAAGTCAAGAGATTGTCTTGGAAAGAAGAATGGTATTAAATAAAATTTACTAATAGTCTAAAATCAATACAAAATTGTGAACGAAAATACTTCTATCGAAATCTTTAGAGAGCCTCGAAATCGTAATTGTGTTGGAATTGAAAATAAGCTTTTATCATAGCTCTGTTGTATGTGCTTGGATTTACGTAGCGTTAGCTCGGTAGAATGGTTGAATAATTCAAACGATTGTTGACGCTCGTACTTTACACTAGGAAGCACCGATGAACTTCATCTTTTCAATCCCACGGTAAAGAAGAAATCCTAACAAAACTCGCGGAACTTCTTGCCACAGGAATAAGAGAATCGATCAAGTGCATCAACCGTCGAATACATTATGTACCGAAAGTTGTGCAAGTTGTAGCTCCACGGAGTAGCATTGTTTCTTAAACGATTGTCCTAAGTGACTCGGAATTATGTTTGTAAAACGCCGGATTCAAACATAAAGTACGAAAAATGTAAAGTTGTTCTTTCATCGGAGGCTGGTGAACGACAATAGGAACGCAATTTGACCCGCTGCTGAATGGGTAACAGTGAAATTGTCAAAAATGCAAAGATATATATTTCCGCGGATCAACGAAAACCCAGAATTATTATTTTTGCATTACCGGCTGTTCGATATACCGTAGGAGGGACACTACGAATGGGCACCGATAATTTTAACGAAGGTGAAGAAGTTTAAGAAGAAGTCCCATTCATTCGTCGACCGCGGCGAAAACTGACAAAACAGTTGATACGCCAGATATAGCGGACCATGGAATACGAATGGACGTCGGCGGATATACGAGCTGCGCGAATGGTACCGAAGGGGGAGTTCGAGGAAAAGTCTCGAGCCTAGGGTCGTGAAAAAAAGAGATATGAGAGGATTGTGGAAGGAAGAGAGAAAATATCCACGAATGCGGAAGAAAGAGAGAAAAGCATGGTTGGGTGGGCAGGGGGGAGGCGGGGGAAGGGGGGGGGGGCAGGTAGAGGGAAAAATGGAGAACATGGTCCTGGAAAAATGTCATCGAGCGATCCTGATTTACAGGCGTAGGGAAATCGGTGCGGTGAACTTCGTGTCCGCGGCGGAAACTCAGAAATTTTTGCTCGTGGGAATAGGAACTTTCATTGACGTTCGCCTGTAGATATCTTCCGAGGGGGGGGGAAAAAGAAAGGGACATAGAGCAAAAGCAAGCAGACGAAAACTACGAACAATTCGCCAACGATTTTTGCAAAAGTCAAATTTACTCGACAACGTACGACTGAAATTGTTTCTGGCTGGCGTGCTAAAATCGCGGGTTTATTCGTACGGTGATAGAACGACAGGTGTGTATTTTATCAACGACTTGATCAATGCTGCTGAGATAAAACTGCGTATACATACACTGCAAAACTATCTACCAACCTCGTGCATACACTATAATAATATAAATGTATTTTGATAAGCATTACGAAGTAAGTTATCCTTCGATGGGTTAACGCGAAAACACCTCTATTCGAGCGTAAAAGGTTTCCGATATGGAATCAAGCACGCATTTAGTGACTCTGGCTCTGCCGGAAAATTCCTTTCACGCGCGTAGAGTAATGACTGGTATACATAAATGTATATGTTTAACGATACTATTGCAGTACAAATTTGTCGTTTAAAGTTTGCCTGAAAATGGCTGGACAACAGGGGAGAAAATGTGACGCTCAGGTTCGAGTAATTTTGCTTTTGGAATTCTCGATGCTGGTCTATAACAACTCCCATCCTGCCCGGTGAATAACTATGCAAATTTCTGTATGGGTTAAGCAGAGACTTCTGATAGCACCCTATACTATAGACGAGTTACGAGGAAACGTGCTCATAAAGCCACGCACGGCCAAGATTGACCTCTCCCTTTTACCATCTCTCTCTCTCTCTCTCTCTCTTGCACACACTCTCTCTGGATGGTGACGTTCCTCGTGAACTCGTAACGATGTCTTTCTTTCGCAAAAGTATCAGTCGTACTTTCTATGGTCGGATCAAGCATCATCTCATAAAATAAACATTTTTCCCTTGGCAGAACACTGTAAACTCGAATCATATCATTCTTCTCGATGCTTTATTCTCGAGCAGTTGGAAAAACTATCTCGATATAAAGTATCTCGATGATACGCGTGTCTACAAGATCGAAACCATCGTTGTTAAATTAATAATTCGCTTAGAACGTACGTACTTAAGAATAAGTGAATTGCGAGGCGTGTTAGATGCAAACTACGAGTGTATCAGAGTGGGTAAAATCGAGAGGCTGTTCAGGTTTTGGATGTGAAATAGCACGTGGTCACGAGACCGAGCAGTGCGAGTCAAAGAACGAAATAATTCGTCGAGGGTGTTTATAGCGTGCATCGTTAGGACATCTCATAGAGATACGGAAACTTGATTAAAATATTGTTGGTCGGTCGACTTACTGTATGAGGCGACCAATGATGCGGCCAAGTTTTGGTCTCGAGAGTACTCCCAACGTTCGGTTGACTTGCTAAGAAAACGACTCGTCTGTCGGTACTTCCGGTTCCGGTGCCGCTAGTAGTGAGAAGAGCTGCTCTGGCCCTCGATCCACCGATACTTAACGTCGGCGACGTGTCCATGTTGCTCTGAAAGTGAAACGAATCCGAGAATCACCGACCGCTCGCGAATTTTGAACCGTGCTCTTTTACCCGAGGAAAAAAGGATTGTTTTCTTTTTTCCTTTTTTCCTTTTTTTTTTTTGCGAAACCAAATATATGCGGGAACGTGAAATTTCATTACGTTGGATTTCAATTACGCGAGATGTTTGACCGTGAAGCAGCGACGAATGAAGTTCAAACAAATTCAGCTAGTTTAATGAAGCCTGTTACGGGAATGATGAATGCTTCCGTAGGAATTCCAAGCCAAGTATGCGTCTTTCAACTGTAGTCTTGGTTCGCGAGATTCTCTTATTAATTCTGGCTCCGTACACGCAGAATTTTTAGCAGTATCAGAAAAATTTTACAACGATTTTTTCGAGAGGTCTCTAAAAAGAATATCCAGCGTACGATTACGGCTTCGGTGAAATTTTAGCATTGCATTTTGTTTGACGTTTCTCGCCGAATTGAATGCATCGCTGGCATGAAAATTGTTATCGCGACCTTGGGAAAATAACAACGATATTATAACGATTCGACGCGACGCGATACCGCCTCTGTGTCTGTTCGACCAAACAGAAGGAAAACGAATATCCCTGCGGAATGAAATTTCCCGCGATTCGGGTTTTCGCGCTAAAGCCAAGAACCGCCACGGAACCCGGCGTGATCGATATCGCAGCGTATGAACGGTGATTCCAGAACACGGCCGTCGTCGTAAAGAAATCCGACGAGCGTAATCGAGCTCGTTAGCTTCGAGAATGAAAGCTCATCGAGCTGTGGGGAGCCGAGCGAACGAGCGAGAAGACGAGTGCGCAGAAAAGGAAAAGGAACCAACGGCGAGGTAGTACGTTTTTCAGTAGGAAATACGGGTCGTCGACGGACATTAAGGAGAATGATGCGCGACCACGACCCGGCCAGACACGCGATGCGACGCGACGCGACGCGACGCGACGCGAGAACGAATAAAAAGGGGCGGTCGAGCGAAAAAGAAGGGGCGATAGAACGAAACGTTGAAAATAAAATCGAGCACCAGCGTCCGCGGCGTTGACTAGGCGCTAGCGCGGAACTGACACCTACCCCTTAATTAAATCTCGTTGAATCCTCTTCGGTGGTGGGTGGATCGCGACAACAACCTCACGATTGATCTGTAATTTACGCGGGACACCGTGGAATACTTGCTCGGATCACGATAACGGTGTCTTGGTCGCGGAATCGGCGTTTACACCGTTAACCCTTATTCCCCCCGGTTCACTACACTTAAACCGGGTAATTCTTAAAGTCGCGTGCACCTAATCATTATTGCCAAACCGTGAACGGAGGCGGGGGTGCGAAAGCGGCGTTAGGTATTCTTTAAATCGTTCCAGTACGACGTCGGCTCCTCCTTCGCGCAATTACGAGTCATTACGCGAGGCATTCCATCGTGTACACCAGGTACACACAAGACACCGCACGCCGGTGTCCGGTGTTCGGCTATACGGAGACCATCGACAGACTGCAGAGAGAGTTAGATTAACCGTAGCCGCGGACGATTTATCGCGCGATAATAACGATCACGAAGATAATGAGGACTACCACGCGGTAGCCGTCGATGTTATCGGGCCCGGGGTAACTACCATAATCGATTTAGAACCGTATTCTCGAATCCCGGTTTTCGAACTCGCATTTCACCGGTACTTCGTATCGGATCCCGGTACTCTTTCGGAACTACCGGAAAGCCTTGATTCGGTTAGATCGTTCCCACGCCGCGAGAAGTCCAAGTTTACCCGCAGAATCACGAGCACCACTGTTCATCCGCTAATGGGAAAATTACTGCTACGGCTCAGTTTAATCTGTCAGAAAATTTATTCTACCGACCGTTCCACCCCGAACTCGCACTGGCTACCGATTTTAATTATACCTACGCGTTACCCATCAATCCCCCCAGAGAATTTATTTCCCGCTTTTTTTTCGTCTCTCTGTCCGCCGGCGTTCGTTTTTCTTTCCCCCTCTAGCGACAAAACGATCGCTCGAGAATTTTATTCCTGTCGTTGTAAGGCTGCGGTCTCGATCAACTGTTCGTCCTCAACGATGATTCATCATCGACAGCCGAGCCCCGAGTTTCCTTTACGATAGCCCTTACGACCCGAACACGGAACGATTCTTTCGACCCGTTCCTCGCTCATGGTTCACGGAACGAATTTGTTTTGCACGGCCCGTCGGTGGTTCCGGTTGTACGGCACGGTTTAGAAAGATCGAAAGTATCAGTTCCGCGCGACGAACTCCGTCATGGCCAGATGCAGCCGAGCGTCGCGTTCGAAATCGCGCACGACACTGAACCGCCTGGTCGTCTGGCGCCCGAGGTGAGCCTCTCGCGGATTCGCGGGCTCACGTGTGAAATTCTTGCGCATGCACCGACGCCTTCTCCCTTCCAATTTCTCCTCTTTCCATTCTTTTCTTACCCTCCCTGTCCTTCTCTACCCTTTCCCGCTAAACAGCCCCTATCTCTATCTCTCTTCCTATTCTTTGATGCGTTCTATCGCTTTTATTTTCCTCTACCCTTGTCTGGATAAGCTCCTTGAGATGTCATCGTACGAGTGACAAGTATCTCCTATCGGTACCGGTTGCCATACAACCGAAAACGACAAAATATTTCGTCCAGTAAATTCGAGTAGTCCATAAATATAGCGGTCAAATATAGAGGGTGGTTTGTCAAATTTGAAAATTTCAAATCATTCGCGGAAAAATTATTTTCGGTTGCGGGGGTCGATTGCAATCATTTTTGGTGAAGAGACATACCTTCGAAATCCTATCCGCTTTCGAGAAAAAAAATCCTTATCGAAGATATACTGTATGACTGTATGGAAATGTTTCTCTAACTTTTCAACGAAGCCTCGATCAACAAATTAGTATCCTTGATTTTCGTCTTATTTTTGCCTGTAGAAAACCTGCAAATTATTTTGTTGGAACTCCCTACTCTGAATTTTTAATTCACCTGTCTCTGCTAATCCACCGTGGGTGTACTTGGGTGAGTTCAATGTAACCTTTAAAATAATAACCGTTAATATAATGCTGATAAACAAGAGTGTCACCTAAACAAGGAAATTGTGCGCGCGATATTACGACACTTTCCTCGCTGCCGGTGCACCTTTTTTCTCTTGCAAGTTCCGCCTCCCGCCATAAACTTTCTGTTTTCACCGCTTGTGCGTCCTACGCTACGAACCGTACATACCTGCTCGCATTATCATCCACGCTTTACTTCCTATTCTCGGGGGTTCGCCGGCATGCGACGAGTGTCGTATTTGCGAAGGATGGTATCTCCGGGTCACTTAATAAATTGCACGGGCATCGCGATACCGTTATCGAATCCTAACATTTTAACGCGGAAACGTGACAAATAGGAATCACAGCATTATGTAACTCGGGCGATACGGTTTGGTCTGCCGCGGAATAGTTTGCAAATTCCAGACACATTTGAAATTCACAGACCGAACTTGCGAAGAACGAGTCATTCTATGGTTAACGCGCGTATTGCAGGCTCGAACAGATTTGAAATTATTTGTCTTTTTCGTTTTGTTTGCTCGCAGGATCTCGACGATCCATCGCGCAACGTAAGATCCTCTTTCAGAAATCTGCCTCGTACGATAGTTAAATCATGGGGCACGAACCTGTTGCAGACCGTTTGACGATATGCCACTGAATCGGTCTTGCGAAATGTGTGCAGCTTTTCCTCGCTCGATCGATTAAGTCACCAGGCAAATGGTACGCGAGTAATCGGGATCGAACGCAAGAATGGGGCAGAAGAGCGAACCGATTGCGACAGAACGATCCTGTCGGGGCTGAAACAATGCCGCTTCGAAAATGGAAATCGCAAAATATAGGATCGATCTTTTCCTGTGTTCCCTTCTCTCCTACCCGTCTCGTCTATTCATCTCCTTACTTTTGTTTCTCGTTGGTGATTTCTGGGATTTTTACCGGTAACAGTCGAGACGACGGCGAAGGCTATAGCGCGAGGATAAAAGATCCTAGACCGGATTGATTGATTGTTTCTCTCGTGTAGGGTCGCGTCGATCGATCGGAACGAAAGTGGATCCGAAGGGAGATCGACGGAGAAGATACATAGTTCTTAACCGACGTTCGAAACCAACTTAGACGGAAGTACTTTGGTCCGATCGTCGAATGCCTTCAGGCTGCGAGCAATCTCGACGATCTTGCATTTCGCATATGATCGCGACACCTCTCTTGCAGCTGATTGCACGCGCCAGAGAGAGTTTGATAGTCACTTTTGCGTCGAGTGCTTCCGATTCGTGAATTCTACAATCGCGAAAAGTCGAATCCTGCGGATGAAATTCAGCAGAATCCAGGAACGAGATTTCTTTAAGCAATATTCTCTGCATGAGATTTCGGGAAGGCAACGTTCTGGTTTGCAATTATCCGTTCAAGATCTATAGAAACGTTTCTGGATTAAAGGCCCTGCCAAATGTCTGTAAAAGACACTAAAAATTAAATCGTTACAAATTACTCGAACAATATGTCTGTACACGATGGATACCGTATGATTTAAATTACACAGAATGACCGGCAACAGGTGTCAGAAACTTTAAAGGGTGATTTTGCATGCTAGAATAAGAAAGAAATGAAAAATAACGAAATCGTCATTCGAGTTTTCTACACGAGGTATCGATTACTGAAAATATCCATAAAGGCGCAGAATCGAGAGGTTTGGGCTCTCGTATCTTTGACAAGTCGTAATTTCGTGGACGATATTAATACTTCGTTTTACGCGGAACGTTCCGAGGTATCGATACGAGTAAAAAAAATTGTGCATTTGCATTTTTAAAAAAAGTCAAGTCGTAAAAAAGTAGGCATCACCATATCATTCAACTTTTCCCTCTGCAAATTTTTTTATCTCGTCCCAATTGCATGACACCCTGTGTATATACGTATATAAGTTTTCAAATGAAGTCCCTCATTCCTCCTCCCACTGCTTCCGAGGCAGGGATCGTCGGTGAGCTTTACCGACGAGTCTTCTAGCGAGCCTAGGACGAAACGTAAAATTCTTTTTTTTCCTTCTTCCCCCGGCAATTGCTTCTCTCTACATAATACGTAAGACCGACACCTTAGTTATCTGGGCAATCAGCAGCCGGAGCAAGAACCCCTAACAAATGACATTACGTTCTTTGGCTAAAACTTAAGCTGTTAAATGCCCAAGACCTAACATTTTCAATACGCGCCATTGATCTTGAACAAGCTCGTACGCACAGAGGTTTGGTCGACCAACTCTCTCGCGTGTTTTTTGCGCGCGAAAAGCATTCCTTTTCATTTATTTTTCTGTTCGAATGATCGTAGACGCGGGAAGAAAATATCACGGTGTTAATTCAAAGGAATGCGTAGCGCAACGAACGTATTTCGAGAGGAAAATTAATCCACGTCCGACGCAAAAATTCGCGATTTCGCTTTTCGCTGTGGAGAAAGCAGCGCCGCGAAACTAACAAGCAAATTAATTCGCTGTGCTGTTACGGGAGCAGTTTACAGGAATCAGCCAGGCTCCATGGATTCCCAGGTAGTTACTCGTAACGGGGGTCTATTAACGAGGGAAAAATGGTGTTCACGGTACACCGAGGAAACGAGGGTACTCGTTGGACGACGGTGTCCCAATGTCTCGTAAAACGCGATTTTATTCGAGGTTGAACAAATTGAAATATAAGCCGCTCGTAAGTCTGTTCCTATCTACGAGCGGGGACAGTCGGCCCTGCTCTTCTTTCCGTTCGCTATACGCGCCTATTCGTCTTTCCTTCTTGAGTTCTCGGATCTTTTATTACGGCCTGCGAACACGGACAAGGACAAGGTTGTAGCATTTACGCGGGGTTATCCGTATAGCGTACACCCTGCCGGAGACACCGATACCATCGAGCTGAATTTATTTCTCGCAGGCCAGTCGTCTTGTTGCATAAAAATTTATCTTCCCTTCCCGACAACTATAATATCACTGAAAATTGTGTCCGACTGTGTTCCAGGTTTATCGTCCGACGTCTTCCAACGCGAACGATTCGGACCGTTTCATCGCTCGAAATTAAACCACGATGCGAGAGGTGAGTGGCTTTGGTCGAGAAGAAACGCGAAAGAGAACCAAAAAAAAAATGACGATCGTGGCGCGAGGGAGAGACGAAAAGAAACCAAGTTGCAGAAAATATTCCAGGCCGGCGAAAAATGGAAAATTTTTAATGAAAAAAGGAAACTACGGAAACAGATGTCGCTAAAAAGAAGAAACTTGAAAACATAGAATTAGAAAAGTTGGAGGGAGATGAGGCAGGCTGGCAGGCAGACAGCAGCGGTATCACAATTAAGAAGGGA